AAGTTCTTTTTTTTGTTTTTGTTTTTTATTTTATTTATTTATTTATTTATTTGGCTGTGTCAGGTCTTAGTTGTGGAACTCAGGATCTTCGTTGAGGCGTGGGGTCTCTTTGTTGTGGTGCTTGGGCTTCTCTCTAGTTGTGGCGCACAGGTTTTCTCTCTCTAGTTGTGGCACGTGGGCTCCTGGGAACATGGGCTCTGTAGTTTTGTGGCACGCGGGCTCTCTCATTGAGGTGCAAGAGCTCAGTAGTTGTGGCCCGTGGGCTTAGTTGCCCCGCAGCATGTGGGATCTTAGTTCCCTGACCAGGGATCGAACCCACGTTCCCTGCATTGGCAGGTGGATTCTTTACCACTGGACCACCAGGGAAGTCCCTCTCTTCAAGTTCTTGATAGCCATGAACAATTAGAAACTCAAATAGATAATACAAATTTAAAATTTTAACATTAAAAAACATAAAAGTTAAAATATTTAAAGAGGGCTTCCCTGGTGGCACAGTGGTTGAGAGTCCGCCTGCCGATGCAGGGGACACGGGTTCGTGCCCCGGTCCGGGAGGATCCCACATGCCGCGGAGCGGCTAAGCCTGTGAACCATGGCCGCTGGGCCTGCGCATCCGGAGCCTGTGCTCCGCAACGGGAGAGGCCACAACAGTGAGAAGCCCGCGTACCGAAAAAAAAAAAAAAAAAAAATTAAAAAAATGTCTATTTTCTTTCATTAACAATTGTACAATTGAAATTTCTTGTGATAACATTAATGGATCTTGAATCCAATCAAACTCTTTTGTGTCAAACATTTAAAAATAATGACACGGGACTTCCCTGTTGGCGCAGTGGTTATGAGTCCACCTGCCAATGCAGGGGACATGGGTTCGAGCCCTGGTCCGGGAAGATCCCACATGCCGCGGAGCAGCTAAGCCCGGAGCAACTAACCACAACTACTGAGCCCGCGCGCCTAGAGCCCGTGCTCCACAACAAGAGAAGCCACCGCAGTGAGAAGCCCACGCACCACAATGAAGAGTAGCCCCCCCTCGCCACAACTAGAGGAAGCCCACGCACAGCAACGAAGACCCAATGCAGCCATAAATAAATAAATAACAACAACAACACCTGGTATTCACTGTTAATGGCCAGCTGGCTTATTTTATTTATTTATTTTTTTTGCTTTAGTAGTTGTGGCATGCAGGCTCAGTAGTTGTGGCTCGCGGGCTCTAGAGCGCAGGCTCAGCAGCTGTGGCACACGGGCTTAGTTGCTCTGTGGCATGTGGCATCTTCCCGGACCAGGGCTCGAACCTGTGTCCCCTGCGCTGGCGGGCAGATTCTTAACCACTGTGCCACCAGGAGAGGCCCTGGCATCTGTTCTGATTGGTCAATATCTGTTCCATCTCAGATGTTAAATATTTTTAATGTCACCCTGCCCATAAGCATTGTTAAAGCAGTCACCCTGAAGTTAGCTTGGACACCAGCCAAAACTGGACAGAAATATCTGATACTATGTGAAGACAGATTTGGGTCAGCCATCTGGGGCTGCTCTGGCCAGAGCCCTCCAACCAGTGTCCTCGCCCCTCCAGCCCTGACCAGCTGCATCTCGGGCTGCTGCTGCTCCCCCTTGGCCCCTGGAGCTCACTTCCTCTAGCAGGGCCCTGGACGCTTGTCTGTAACGTGCAGCAGTGCACTCTGCAGCTGGCCTCTGAAGTTGATGGCCAGGCGGTAACACATGGCAAGCAGCAAATGCTGCTGATCCTTCGGCCTACTTGTAGAGATTGAAAGGCAGGACGACAGACTCTGCTCTGCTTGGATCATATCTGCAGGAGCTCCCCATGGGCTGTATGCACCCAGAGGTGTTTGGTCTAGCTGGCAGCCCCAAGGGCCATGGGATCTTTATGTTGTATCCAACATGTAACCCAGTTGCAATATACCAGCGTACTATGGCCATGGTGAGGAAACTCTGCAGTAGAGGAAATAAAACATGCAATGATAACACTACCTATTATTTATCAATGGATGGTTTACAGTGCTTTCACAGTGGACCTCATTTAACCCTCATAAGAACCACCAGTAAAGATTATCATCCCATTTTACAGAGTAGGAAATAGGTTCAAAAGGGTGAGTTGCTCAGATTGACACGTTAGGTCCACCCTTCCCTGACTGGGGTGCCTTAAGGATGTACACATTGGTGGGCTAGGTTAAATGATGAGTTACTGGAGTGACAGATTTACTTGAAAGTTTTTGGGTAAGCTGTTTTTTTTTTTTTTGGGCTGTGCCACGCAGCTTACAGGATCTCAGTTCCCTGACTACTAAGCCACCAGGGAACTCCCTAGGGGAATTTTTTTTTTTTTTTGCGGTACGCAGGCCTCTCGCTGCTGTGGCCTCTCCCTTTGCGGAGCACAGGCTCCAGACGCGCAGGCTCAGCGGCCATGGCTCACGGGCCCAGCTGCTCCGTGGCATGTGGGATCCTCCCGGACCAGGGCACGAACCCGTGTCCCCTGCATTGGCAGGCAGACTCTCAACCACTTGCGCCACCAGAGAAACCCCCCCTAGGGAAATTTTAACTGGTAAATTATATAGGTGTTTCTTTGTTTGTTTTTGTCTTGTTTTGTTTTGTTTTGGCTGGCGTTGCACGGGATGCGGGATCTCAGTTCCCCGACCAGGGATTGAACCCATGCCCCCTGTAGTGGAAGCTCGGAGTCCTAACCACTGGACCACCAGGGAATCCCTTAACTGGTAAATAATATAAAATATTTGGAAATTCTGCCAACAATGATTGAGATTCACTGATAGTGGACCAAAGATTTAAGTTGTTTCTTTAAAAAAAAAAAATTATTATTTATTTATTTTGGCTGCTCCGCGTCTTAGTTGCCACACACGGGATCTTTGCTGCAGCATGCAGACTTCTTAGTTGCGTCATGCATGTGGGATCTATCTCCCCGACCAGGGAACGAGCCCGGGCCTCCTGCACTGGGAGCGTGGAGTCTTACCCACTGGCCCACCAGGGAAGTCCCAAGATTTAAGTTGTTTCTGATTCCAGATCCCAATTTATCCCAGGTAGAAAAGTGTTAAGGTTTTATGAGAGTTACGGAGAGAGTCGTGTAAGCACGGGTTTCAGCTGAACATTGGGTATGTGGAGATGGGACCTAGGGAGAGAGCATTCCAGCAAAGGAAAGGAGGCAAGAAAGTGGGGCTGTGTAAGGTGAACAATGGCTGGAGAGATAAGGGCGTGAAGATGCCTAACTGGAAATACGATTAGAAAGTGGATTGGCTTCAGGAAGCTTTATCTGGCAGGAAAGTCTATGTGATACTAGCTGTGGTGAGACCAATTGGAAAGCTAGAGTGGGAAGGCTTGAACCAGAGTAGCCGTGGAGAGCTTTCACATGGGAAACCATCACGACTTACCAAAGGATGGTGGGGGAGAGGGGCAGGATCAAAGAGAGGGACGTGGGAAGTTGCTGGCTGAACTTGTAGCCCACCTGGTGGCGCAGTGGTTGCGAGTCCGCCTGCCGACGCAGGGGACACGGGTTCGTGCCCCGGTCCGGGAAGATCCCACATGCCTCGGAGTGGCTGGGCCCGTGGGCCATGGCCGCTGGGCCTGCGCGTCCGGAGCCTGTGCTCCGCAACGGGAGGGGCCGCGGCGGTGAGAGGCCTGCTACCGCAAAAACAAAAAAACAAAAAAAAATCCAGGTAGGGAGTTAGCAAATGGGTGACTGGAGCCCAGGGCTGGGATATGGATTGTGAGTTATCTGCCTCTAGGTGAAAATGGTTACCTTGATATTGGCAGAGACTGCCATCAGAGAAGGAGCCATCGGAGAGCAGGGGCACACCTGGTCAAAGAAGCCACCTGCGGAAAATTGAAAGGAAGGGCGTGTTCGGCAGTAGCTCATGATGAAGAGGAAGGTTGGAGTTGCTGTCACATAGTGCCTGGCACATAATAGGCACGCAGATACTTGTGAGAAGAATGAAAGAAAAAAAAGACAGTAAGAAAATGATACATTCAGGACAAACCATATGAAAGAAATAGTGGTAGAATCTAGGCATAACGGTGTTAAACTAGTAAGGACCTACTGTATAACACAGAAAACTCTACCCACTCGTCTGTAATGATCTATATGGGAAAAGAAGATAAAAAAGAGTGGATCTATGTATATGTATAACTGATTCACTTTGCTGTACACCTGAAACTAACACAACGTTGTACATTAACTAGACTCCAATAAAAATTAACTAAAAACTAAAAAGGTGTTAAGGGAATAACCAAGAGATTCTTGCATTTGCTCCAGAAAATGGCAGGGACCTGCTCGGCAGCCTATGGCCACACTGAATACCTGTTATTGATCTTTAGGAGACTTTGCCTCACCCAGCAGGGTGGTGTGAGTTAATGTGTGATTTTATATAAAGGGACAAATTTAATGCAAACTCGGGCCTTTCCCATTCAATCTCAAGTTCTAGAGATTAAAAAATATATAATACCACAAAATGGCTCCCATAACTGCATTACAGATCACTTCTTCCCCCCCCCCCCACCTTAGGGATAAAGAGGACTGCACATGTGGGCTCGCTTCTAAGTCCTGTTTTAAAAAGGTTAATTTAGAAAGACTCTGCTTCCTGAGACTCCCACCCAGATATTTCTTGGTACATTATTTTTTAAAAAATGCTCCAATTTCTCTCGCTTAGAGAAAGGTCTTTCCTCTTCAAATCTTTCAGGTTTTTGTGGGATCTTAGTTCCCCAACCATGGATCGAACACGTGTCCCCTGCAGTGGAATCCTAAAGTCTTAACCACTGGACTGCCAGGGAAGTTGCATTAGGTGTTACTCTGGGAGAAGAAGCTGCCAAGGGCCTGATTTCGGTGCGGAGGGACCGACCTGGGCCAGTGCGGTGGACGTCGGTAGGGAGTCCCGGGCCTGGCTCTAGTTATGACAGGAACTAGAGGCCGAAGTCCAGGAAGGTGTGCAGGGAGAGAGCCGCCCGATCCCTGGGCCCCTCCCCCGCCCGTGATCTCCAGGCGCCCCTGCCCTTTGAGCCCGGGGCGTCTCGGGCGCTGGCACACTCGCCCCGGCCGCTGCGGGGACCAGCGGGGACTAGCGGGGCGGGCGGGATGCTGCGGCTGCTGGCGTCCGGCTGCGCCCGGGGCCCGGGGGGCGGCGGGGGCGCGCTGGGGCTGGTTCTCGGGGGTCGCGTGCGTCCTGCGGCTGGGCTCTGCGATCCCGGCAGCAGCCAGAGCCGCCAGGCCTCCGACGCCCCCCGGAACCAACCTCCCAGCTCCGAGTTCGTGGCCCGGTCGGTGGGCATCTGCTCCATGATGCGGCTGCCCGTGCAGGCCTCCCCCGAGGGGCTGGATGCCGCCTTCATCGGGGTGCCGCTGGACATTGGGACCTCCAACCGGCCCGGGGCGAGGTAAGCCCCGAAGGACTCGGGGACACGTGTTGGGACAGCCTGGCGGCCACTGCGCACACAAAACTCATGGAGAGGCGCTTTCCCTCACCCAGGGTTGAGTTGGAAGCCAGTGCCTGGCTCCAAAGTGCCCCCAATCCTTTGAGAGACAGCTGGTTTCCCTCAAGCAACCCTGAGGGCTCAGCCGTGTCATCCATTGGTAAAGAAAGGGGGTTTAAGGACTGAGCCTTCTCCCTGCCCCGTTCCCTGGCCTAGCTGGATGGTGGCTGTGGGTACCCCGGTTTACAGAAGCAGGGGACATTAAGTTTGAGAACAGAAGCTGGTTGCCCTTCCCCAAACCTCTAGATGTCACGTGACTCAAGAATTTGCTCCAAATAAGGCAATTTTTTCTTCTTTTTTTGGTCGCGCAGCCTGCGGGATCTTAGTTCCCCCCGCCAGGGATCACCGCATGCCCCCTGCAGTGGAGATGCGGAGTCTTAACAACTAAACCGCCAGGGAAGTCCCCAGAATAAGGCAGTTTTCCTAAGATCAAGTTAGAGGAAGTAAAATCGATCTTTCTAATTATTGAACATCAGCTATTTACGATTCCGCAGCAACAGTTTAGGAAACTGAGGCTCAGGGAGATTAAGAAATAATCTAATGCCATTTAGTAAATTGGTGATTGGTGGGCTTCTAAGTCTGTACCTTTAATCTCTTCACTATATAGGCTAGATCAGTGGTCCTCAACGTGTGTGTGACATTTTCCCCCCAGGGGACATTTGGCAGAGTCTGGAGGCATTTTTGGTTATCACAACGTGGGGGAAGGGCTGCTACTGGCATCTAGTGGGTAAAGACCAGCGTTGCTGCTAAACATCCTGCAATGTATAGGATGACCCCTACCCCCTGCAGCAAAGATTCAGCCAGCCCCAGCACAGAGCCTGGGAAGCCCTGGCCTAGGCAGAGCCTCTAAACCTTTAGGGATGACTCACAGGCTGATTCTTTCTCCTCCAGATTTGGACCCCGACGGATCCGCGAAGAATCAGTGCTGCTTCGGACAGCCAACCCTAGCACAGGAGCCCTCCCCTTCCAGTCCCTCATGGTTGCAGACCTAGGCGATGTGAATGTCAATCTTTACAACCTTCAGGACAGCTGCCGCCTAATTCGAGAGGCCTATCAGAAAATTGTAGCAGCTGGCTGTATTCCTCTGACCTTGGGTAATGGCATCTGCAAGGGAGAGGGTAGTTCTCTGAGCTCAGGGTCTATTTATCATGAGCTGGAGTACGGTTACTTCTCCAGGGGGAGCCACTGGCAATATGGAGACAGTAGGAAAGGGAACATTTTTAGTTCATTTATTTTAACCCCTGGGGAGAGGATATTTACATTTTTGGACTAATGTGACTGACAGGGATGGACCAGGGTGAAGCAAGTGAGGCACTCACCTTGGTGCAAAGTTTAAGGGGTGCCAAAAAGTCAGCAATACATATTACTGATTTCCCTTTTTGCCTCAGGTTCCAGTATGGCTCAGAACAGCACAGTTGCTGATCCTCTCTTTATTTAGAGTTTATCATGGGGGACTTCCCTGGTAGCGCAGTGGTTAAGAATCCGCCTGCCAATGCAGGGGACGTGGATTCGAGCCCTGGTCCGGGAAGATCCCACATGCTGCGGAGCAACTAAGCCCATGTGCCACAGCTACTGAGCCCGCGTACCTAGAGCCCATGCTCTGCAACAAGAGAGGCCACTGCAGTGAGAAGCCTGCGCGCCGCAAGGAAGAGTAGCCCCCGCTCACGGCAGCTAGAGAAAGCCCGTGCATAGCAATGAAGACCCAACGCAGCCAAAAATAAAAATAAAAAAAAGGGACTTCCCTGGTGGCGCAGTTCCCTGGGACTACCCAACGCAGCCAAAAGTAAAATAAAATAAATTTATAAAAAAGAAAAATAAATAAATAAAATAAAGTAGCATGGGCTTCTCCTTGCGGTGGCTTCTCTTGTTGTGGAGCACGGGCTCTAGGCACACGGGCTCAGTAGTTGCAGCATGCGGGCTCTGAGGCACACGGGCTTCAGTAGTTGTGGCTCTCGGGCCTAGTTGCTGTGCGGCATGTGGGATCTTCCCAGACCAGGGCTCGAACCTGTATACCCTGCATTGGCAGGCGGATTCTTAACCACTGCACCACCAGGGAAGTTCCTATCATGGATCCTTTTTTTTTGCATTGATTTTGATTTTTTAAAATATTACATTAAAATAATATTTATCTTGATTACTTAGTTTTTTTTCTTTTTTGGCCACACAGCTTGCAGGATCTTCATTCGTCCCCTGGCCAGGGATGGGGCCCAGGTCCCCTGCAGTGTAAGTGCAGAGTCCTAATCGCTGGACCGCCAGGGAATTCCCCAATTACTGAGTTTTTTTTGTTTTTTTTTTGGTGTCCCTTCAATTTTGCATCTGGCAACTGCCTCTATCCACCTCACCTTGTCCCAGCCCTTGATGCCAGGCCCGAGGAGGCTGCCAGCAGGGGCTTAGTTGTGACTTCTTAAGTATTCAAGGACGTTGTTTCAATGACTTTATTTGAGAGAACTGCAAGGGGGTCTTTTCCTCTCGTCAGGGTCTATGTCAATCTATAGAGCAGCTTTCCTCTTACCCTCCCCCACCCTGCCCCACTCTCACTGTAGCAGTTCTTTCTCTTCCTGTTCACCAATAGTCAAAATAGTACCTTTTTCTAAATATCCAAATTTATTTTTGCCAAATGAGAGGGCCCAGCCTGCAGAGCATAGTGGTAAGGAGTGGGGTTTCTGGCTGACGTGGTTTGAAATCTCAGCTCCACCTCTCACTAGCTCTTGATGCTTCATTTCCTTATCTGTAATATGGGAATAAAAATACCACCACCTACCTTCTTATATTGTGTCAGGGGCATATAACAAAAGTGCATATAAAGTGCCCAACTTTGTGACTGGCATGTTTTAAGCTTCCATAAATATAGCTGTTGTTGTTATTAATAATTATCAATGGTAATACTTTTCTAGGCCTGTGCTGTCCATTATGGTAGCCCCTAGCCACATGTGGCTATTTAAATGAATTACAATTAAATAAAATAAAAAATGCAATTCTTCAGTTGCGTGAGCCACATTTCAATAGCCAATGGCTAGTGACCACCATGTTGGCCAGTGCAGATACAGAACATGCGTGTCACTGCAGGAAGTGCAACTGGACAGAGCTGGTCCGAGCATTTTCCCTATAAGCCTTAATTTAATTTCCTCTTTTAAATGACAATGTAATGTCAAACATTTAGTGGCCATTTCTCCACCACTGAACAAGATCATATTTTAGCTGGGGTTATAGTTCTTCCAGTCTAATCGAAAGGGTGGCAGAATTGGGCAGATTAAAGATCGTTCTAGGTGATACGTGGTCCTCGAATCTTATCCACGTTCCAGATGTTTTCTTTTTTTGTCTCCTTGAAGGTGGAGATCACACAATCACCTATCCTATATTGCAAGCGATGGCAGAAAAGTAAGTCCCAAAGGCCGGAGCTGGGGAATGAGTTGTTTTCTGCTAGATGGCGTCAGGTGACCTCTGCTGCCTCAGGTTGTTGGAGATGATAGGAAATTCCCCACTGAGTTGCTTCTATGGATCAAAATTAAGGTCAAGCTCCAGGTGTGTCTGTCAGTCACCAGATGGGAGCCAAGACAATTTATTATTAACACCCTGGCCACCCGCCCTTGCCCTAGATCTGCCCTGGTATGCCCGCTCAGCATTTGCCTCTGTTTTTGGAAGATGAGCCCCTAGTGAAATACACAACCCCAGTTAACTTCAGTTTCTGTTTTGCTTCAGAGGCCAAATACAAATACTGACAGGCACAATGGTATTGCTTGCTGAGGAGAAGCCCTGTTTTTTCCTGAAAGGGCCCCTTTCCCAGAGGATGAGAAGATGGATTTTTCCAGTAGTGAAAATCTAGCAGGGATTGACTAATTTGGGTTAGTTAGTTTGAGAAATAGACAGATGGGCCAAGGTGGTGAGCTCCAGAATTCATATAGAGGAAAGCTATGTGGGTGGCATTCTGGTTGGGGGTGGGTGGGTGGGTACAAGGCTTTTCTGGAAGCTGTGTTTGCCTGGCACTGATTTGGATTGTCTGTTTCTTTGGGGCGGCTGGCAGGGTTGATGGGGATTAGAGAGGGAGAGCGGAGTAGAAGCTGCTTCTTGGTTACCGCAGTTGGAGAAAGGGTGGTGCTGATTAGAGCCTTCAGACGAGCTCACCTGAGCCGCCACCCTTTACTTTCATCCTCCCAGCCCTCTCCATCTGTAAGTGAAGAAAATTCTGGGCGATAGGTAGGGAGTGTCAGCTAAAGCACGTGACTACCTTCTGCTTGACTTCTCTGAGCTTATTGTCCTTCTGAGAAGCTAAGTGGTTTGAAGACAGAAACCAGTTGCAAGGCTGGTAACTGATGCCAGGTCCCCCCTCCACGGCTATGAATTGTCATCAAGTTTTGGCGGCCTGGAGGGTGGTGGTGTTCAGGCCCCACTGGGAGGCCTGGCTTCTGAGCCGCCCTGTTGTCATCAGGCATGGGCCTATGGGGCTGGTGCACGTGGATGCACACATGGACGTGGCGGACAAGGCCCTGGGTGAGAAGCTCTATCACGGGACGCCCTTCCGCCGTTGCGTGGACGAGGGACTCCTGGACTGTAAGCGCGTGGTACAGATCGGCATCCGGGGCTCTTCCATGACCTTGGATACCTACAGATACAGCCGGAGCCAGGTGACAGGCCGAAGGCCCTTCCCTCTGTCCCCGGCCCCAAAGTGCCTTTCTCTCCATTGCCCACTCAGTGGAGGCTATGGATTCAAAGGGACTTTGCTAATCAAGCTCAAAGTGGGGACAGAAGGGTGAGTTTGCGTCATCTGGAGCAGATAGGAGCGGGGATGATAGTTCACGAGGCAGAGGAGGCCTCTCATGGCTGGGGAGGGGAGACAAGCAGAAACAAACCAGGCCCTTGGATGCTGCTGGCTTGGAAAAGAGTGGAGGAGGTCCAGACCCAAGGCGATGGGTCTGATATGGGGACGATAGTTCCCTCCTCATGGGTATCGGGGGTCAACTTTGAGGTGCACATAAGCCGAGCACGGGGTAGGCCTATAGGAAATGCCCAGTAAATGCTGCCAGGCCCAAGTGTCACCTTTCTGCTCTTCAATTCTTTCTCAGGGCTTCCGGGTGGTCCTGGCTGAAGACTGCTGGATGAAGTCGCTGGTTCCTCTGATGGGAAAAGTGAGGCAGCAGATGGGAGTCAGACCCATTTATATCAGCTTTGATATCGACGGCTTGGACCCTGCCTATGCCCCAGGGACAGGGACACCCGAAATTGCTGGTCTCACCCCTAGTCAGGTAAGGAGGCTCCACCAGTGACACTTCCTGTGGGTGAGGATACTTAGCTCCCCACTTTCCTGGGACCTGAACTGAGTCTTTAGAAATCAGGATGGGCTTTTAAAATCAGAGCACCTGGGCCTTTATTGTGCTCAGGGCTGATCACAGGTTGGGATTCTCCCTTATTGATGAGTGACTGATTTTGGCAAGGGCCCTCATTTCTTATCTGGGATATAATAGTCCGTTATTTGGTCTTTCTGCCTCTGGTCCACCTGTTCATGGGGACAATACTGTAGTGCCCCCTGTTCAGACACCAAACTTACCTTTTTGGGGTTAAATTTTAAAGGTATGCACAGTGGGATTAACACCTCCCAGGGTAGTTCAAGAGTTTTAGAAACCCCCAAAGAAAGCTCCCATGGTATGCAGAGCATAGCACAGGGAGGCAGAGCTGGAGGGTGGCTCTACCTAGAAGGAAAGCTGCAGGGGCGGACCTTTGTTCTGTTCACTACTCTCTGAGCCAAGGAGAGTGTCTGACATAAGTAGGAGGTACTCACAGATACTGGAGTAAATGAGTGAAGACTGCTTGAACTAATCAACTGTCTTCTATCCTCTCAGAAAGGAGGATGGTCACAACAGCCTCTCTAAAGCCTTTCCCAGTTCCCGTCAGTTTTCTAGAACACACTCCTCATTCCTTGGCTTCGCATCCTTCCTGCTTTTCACCTGCAGAACGGAAGCAAAGTGACGCTCTTCCTGCCACCCCCCTCACTCATCCTATCTCCGGCCACGTCTGACTACTAGTACTTCTTCCGTCTTGGCGCCTTTGCATGTGTCTTTCCCTCTCCCTGGGCTGCCCTCTCCCTACTCCTCTGCTTGGTCAGTTCCTTGAACTAAGTGTTTCCACCTTGGGGGAGCCTTCCCCAGCCTCTTCAGGCTGCGACACGTGCTCAGACTATTCCTGAAGCCCTTCATGCTGGCATTGAAGCGATCGGTTTGTCTCTGTGATCCCACCAGGGTGCCTGGTGGTCAATGAATGTTTATTGAGGGAAAGCGACAGTTCCAAGTCGAAGGGCAGGCCCGTGTTGGGAGAAATCCATGGAGGCCTCTACTGGTTGCTTTCTGTTGTCAATGATTACTTCTCTGGACAACTCAAGCTTCATCTTGGACAGGCTCTGGAGATCATCCGGGGTTGTCAAGGCCTGAACGTGGTGGGTTGTGATCTTGTGGAGGTTTCACCGCCGTACGATCCTTCTGGTGAGTAAGGGAGACAAATGTGATTCGTAGGCAGCGGCTAATTTATTTTTTATTTTTTTATTATATTTTTTATTTTTGGCTGCTTTGGGTCTTCGTTGCATGCGGGCTTTCTCTAGTTGTGTCGAGTGGGGGCTACTCTTAATTGCGGTGTGCGGGCTTCTCATTGCAGTGGCTTCTCTTGTTGCGGAGCACTGGCTCTAGGCGCGTGGGCTTCAGTAGTTGCAGCACATGGGCTCAGTAGTTGTGGCTCACGGGCTCTAGAGCGCAGGCTCAGTAGTTGTGGCGCACGGGCTTAGTTGCTCTGCGGCATGTGGGATCTTCCCGGACCAGGGCTTGAACCTGTGTCTCCTGCCTTGGCAGGTGGATTCTTAACCACTGCGCCACCAGGGAAGTCCCAGCGGCTAGTTTAAATTGTATTAATCTAGTTAATAAGTAGATGGATGGGTCCCTTTATATAACTCGGGAACCGGCTGAGTATGTCCTACAGTGAAGAAAATAAACCTATTACTGTACACCGTACAGATGTGAGCTAATGAACCCTAACAAAACCCCTGGGAGGCGGCTAAGGAGTGTTAGCTGGCCCACCCGTCAGCAGAAGAGAGAGAAACCAGCGTGCAGTTCAGCGATAGGGCTGCCCAGTGCCATCTGCCTTGGATATTTCATTGAAAAGTGAATTCTCAAGGCATAAATGGTATTTATTAATATTGATAAAGTGGGGGAGTTAGCTGGTTTAGGAGAGAGATTCAAAGCCAATGCCATCCCAATAATTTTAATCTAGAAAAACTTACAGGGTTAGGCCCGTTAGCCTTAGAGGATAGATAGTAAATACGATACACACCAATATGATAGGTTTTCCTTTGGGGGAAATCTGTTCTCAGAGTAAACAGAGAGCCTTCTGAATTTTAAAATACCTTTTCTGAATGATGCTTGATGGAGAGAACGCCGGGGAAAGCATGTCCACGGGGCGGTGGGGAACCGCAGAGAAGCACGCAAGGCAGGACTCTGGGAAAGGAAGCACAAAGGGACAAAGGCTGAGGAGCCCGAGGGGCTCGGCCTCAGGAGGCGGTCTGTGTGGTGTTCACGTTTGGGTTTTTCACTGCTTTGTAGGAAACACAGCCCTCGTGGCGGCTAACTTGCTCTTTGAGATGCTGTGTGTTCTCCCCAAAGTGACAGTCGCCTGAATGTTGTGCTACGATGTTCAAGATAAAACAAGAGCTTGCCCGGATGACAAATTCTCCAGAAGAACTTATGTGCAAGCAATCTGAGTACTAAAGAGTTTATGCCAATAAAACGTTCTGCTAAAAGTGTCACTGGTGGCTCTACAATAGGGGTTTACAGTAGAACTCTAATCCAAACAGCTAATATTCCTAAGGTGTTTGAATTAACTTAAAAAGAATGCATTTGTGCTTTTTTTTTTTCCTTTGATGAATGGTGATGGAGGATAAAGGGGAAAGGGATGGAGAATTTAGTTTAAGATTATCTAAAATCTGGAGGAATGAAATGAAAAAACCCTATGAAATAATACTGTAGAAAAACATTCCATATTTCTATAGTATCTTCCTTTAAAATACAGCCCCTACGCTGAGGAGCATCTTGGTTTTAGGACCATCGTGAACATAGAAAAAGTTTGAAAGAAAAAAGAACAGGCAGATCCTGATAAAGAAACTTCCCACTCAAAAGCCCAGGAAGGGCTTCCCTGGTGGCACAGTGGTTGAGAGTCTGCCTGCCGATGCAGGGGACACGGGTTCGTGGCCTGGTCCGGGAAGATCCCACATGCCGCGGAGCGGCTGGGCCCGTGAGCCATGGCCGCTGAGCCCGCGCGTCCGGAGGCTGTGCTCCGCAACGGGAGAGGCCACAACAGTGAGAGGCCCGCGTACCGCAAAAAAAAAAAAAAAAAAAAAGCCCAGGAAGATGCAAGAATGTCTTCAAAACCAGGTGACATCAGCTGGCTCTTAGTGGCCTTTCCTTAACCCGCTCCCTCTGAGCCTGTTTTGCGTTATCTTCTCTTCAAGCTGACCCACCCTCTATGACAGCAATTCCCCAAATCTGCAGTGGAAGCGTGATGACTTTAAGCACGTGTTGAGTTACACGCGAATTCAGTTTTGGTGATAACGTGTCCACGGTCAAATCATCATCTCGTGACGTAAGAGCTACCCATAACCATCACACATTAAAATAGTTTATTTCTGTTTCCAGTCTGTAAATATTCTTAAAACAAAATAACAGCTTCAGCGCCTGTTCACAATACAAAACAAAAACAACATAAAAAAGACACCATCTGCCAAATAAGTTATTTGTTCCGAAGAGTATCAAAAGTGCAAAATATTCACCTTCTTTTCAGGTCTGTCTCGAAAGCACCATCATCCTCCCTGACAAACGGAACAGACTGGGCAGCAGACACGCTGCGTTTGTTTCAAGGGACAATGTCAGGTATTTGGACAAGACCAACGTTTCAGCTCTAAAGAATATTTTGCATCAGCTTTTCAAGAATTTTACTTGGAAAAAAATGTGTGAGTGTTTGCTCCTAATCCCTTTCCCCAAACAATGCAAATCACTTAAAACACATTCAGATCCCACTTCTTTTTATAGCAGGAAAACATTTACGTACTGAATAAGGAGGGAATCAACCTATTATTTGAAACCACAACCAAGTTTTCACGGTCAATAAGCGAAGGCAGCAAGCCTGTGGTGCCCAGTGGGAGTTAGGGCAGGCCTGCTCGCTGACATGTTGCCTAGTTGGAGGTGATGAACTCGGTGTTAGATTGTGCCACCGACACCTGGGCTGATAAAACAATTTTTAAAAAAATGGGTGCGTATATCTACAAAGGTTTGTTTCAGGCCAGTTGTTGTCCTCATCTGCTAAACATGTTGCAGAGTCTGTATCAATCAGAAAAACCTACCTCTGAAAACATCAACGTTGTCAGTTTCAAGACACTCGAAGACTAGGAAGTTAACTTAGAGCCAAAATTGGGTCTGTGTGATTACATATGTAAGATAAATGGTAGCATTGGCTGACCAGGGCAGTGGCTCATACATTTGACACAAAAGTAAACAAATTCATGGAAATGACATTCAGGAGGAAAGGCTTAGGTGGTCAAGGGTAAAGGTCAGTTTAAAAGCTTCCCAGTTTCCTCTTGGGGGACATAGATAGCTACCAGCCCCCAAACGGATCTGTAGATGATTTTTTTTCGATTGAAATATTTCCTAGGAACGTTTTCACTATTATCACTTTCCTTTCTTTATACAAATGACAGGTGCGGCTGTCTGAAGGTGCTTTTTATTTTAACGATACAATTTTTTAAAGTGAACGAATCTGGGGTGTTTTTGGTTTTCAGAAATTAAGGTCAGGAATCCCATTAGTGCCAGAAATTAAAAAAATAAAAACCTACCACTGAACCAAAACACTACTCGTATAAGCAACTTGGCCATAAGAGATGCAGAAAATAATTTTGAGGACTTGGTGCATCACAGAGCCAAAAATGAATTCCTTGATCAGTTCTACCTAGGCCAGATGCCATGAGATACGGCAATAAGAATAAACACCCACTTTTAGAAGTTCATGTGGAAAAATAAGCCTGGCAGTGATTTATTTTTTTAAATAAAGCTACAGATTCCATGAAAACTAGGGATTTCTGGGCTCAAATAATTTGTTCCTTGCCACTGGAGCTCAATCCAAATGGCTTAGTTTAAAGCAATTACGATTAAAGAAAATATTGACCTATTTTGTCCCATCACTGATTTTGACCCTTCACTTTACAAAAAGGCAACTTGTTTTGACATTTGAACACTTTGAGGTTGTCCAAACTCCACCGGTGGTGTGCTTTAAAAAGAAAAGGTAAGCTCTCTTAACTGGCTGGTAGGGCCCCGCCTGGGGTCCATCGTTCACTGGAGCTCAGCGAGCTGGGGTGCTGATGACAGGTCTGACCCTGTTACTGGTGAAGCAGTTGTAACTTAAGAGTGAAAACAATTAAGATGAGACATCAAAATGTAGGCCAGAAGCTCAAAGTGAGCAAAACGGAAGCCTAGGACGTGTCTTGGCTCACTTGTCACCAAAGAGGACTTGAAGATACAGCACTTTTGGGGTAACAGTATTCAAAATACAATTGCTGAGAAATTTTAAGTTCCTTGATACAAAGATATGTCTGATAGTTTACTAAAGAGACATCACTGTAGGGAAGAGGTTCCTTGAGCCTGACTCACGGCAGGAATAACGTGTCGTCAGTTTAACATCTACTGGCTTATAGCAGCTTACCTCTACGTTCAGAGAGCAAGATTACAAGTTATGGCTCCTAATATCCACACCCTAAAACTGACAGAGGCAGAAAGGCATCTGAAAACATACAGGTAAATGGCTCAAGGTCATTACAGTACTTCTTGCCACGCGGATCCCTCCCCGGCTACTCTTAGTGTTTGGGAGGGGGCTGATGGGATGCTCGAGAAGGCATTGCTCAGGCACTGCCCAGCCCTCCCTTCTCTTGTCTCGGGAAGAAAACCAAACATACGTGCAGAAACCCCCACGCAGTCCTAACCTTTTAAAACCGTGGCTGACAAGCTGTTGTAGGAGGATACCCCCCAAATATACTTTTAGCCATTTACTACCAAAAAAAACACTAATGTAAGATCGCTTGGAACTAGGCCTCTTTTGAGACACAGGGCCCAGAAGCTGCGGTGGCTTGTCCCACCGTTACAGCATGCACCGCGGCAGAAGCACGGCCGAGGCGGGGCGGGGGACAGATGGCCCGACCGGCACACCAGGCTCGCGAGGTCCCCCCAGGCTCTGCTGCAGGGTCCAGCCCTGTGCTTGTCCCACAGCACAGAGACAGGACAGGGGAGGTGGGGGGCGAGCACGGGGCGGGGCGACAAAGGAAGAGGGAATGAGCAGTCTATTTTAAATAGTGTGGCATTCAAATGAGGAAAAAAGACCCAAAGGAAAGTATTCAGATGTGGGGAATTCAGCGTTTGGTGTTTTTCACTCCTAGGTTAGAACAGGACAAAGGAAAGATTCTTCTAGCCACTGTTCTGGAAGAATAATCTAAAATCTATACTCTGTCCATTGTGATAGTTTGAGTCCTGAAAATACCTGTTCACAGGGGCCTGTTAAAAAGTCTGAAGAGTTCGAGCCTCTTTTAGAAATTCTCAGTCTAGTTCAGGCCATGACGGGATATAAAACCTCTGTAAGGAGCCTTCCAGCAGCCGTTCCATCCATAAGGACAACTTGCTCAATTTTCCTTTGATGGGCCTGGATCCAAGGCCAGAAGATTTCCCTCGAGATTCACCCAGATGGAGGGAAGAGTCAAGGTCACTGCACGACCCCATGGCTTCCTCCTCTTCGACTGTTTTTTGGGGCTTGAAGAGGCAGAAGTATTTCTTGTGGCCGTTCAGAGCCAGTACGTAGCCTGTGTAGTCGCGTTCCATGAAATGCTTGTCGTATTGGTTTGGGATCGGGGCCACATCTTGAGCAAATTCTAGTAAGTATTCCAGCCATTCTCTGTGTTTATCTAGACTCAGGAAGGAAAAGTGCAGGCAGCTGCTCCTGTAGGAAGGACAGAAGGAGGATTTAGGGTATTTCCCGACACATTTAGTCGCAGGGAACACAAGTACCTCAGTCAGATTTTAAATAATAGGAAAAGGCTTTGTGCTGGGTGGGGCCTGAATACAGAAGAAACGAAGGACTTCTGCGGGACCCGGAGGGCTTCTACAATGGCGGCAAGAGCCCCTCATCCATTTCCTGTCCCTTGCTGGGCGTCACTCACATCCCTCTCAGTGTCTGGCTTCAGGAAAAGGCACAAGAGCTAGAGAAGAGAGTTCCCTGAAAGGGCTCAGGGAGGACTGAGTTCAAGCTCTTCTGTTCAGAACCGACAGTCGAGGGGAAGAAAGGTCCCCACACGATGGCTTAGAGGTCTGGGTTGGAAAGGTCACAGCCAACGTCATGCTGCACGGAAAAAGCCCCTCCAGCTCCCTCCTTACCCAAGTGTGCAGGCTCTCCCCCGCCTGCTTCCACAGCCCCCGCCCTCTCTCATGTGCACACAGGAGCTCACCCAGTGAACGTGTAGACCTCCAAAGCGAATTTCTGCAGCAGGCTGGTCTTGGTGGAATTTGACAGGATGAGGACCACGTTCATGTGGCCTGGCCTCAGGCGTACCAAGTTACTGGTGTAGGTTACATCTGTGAGCTCGGTCACCTCCACAAAGCCTTTTTTAGGAATCTTGCTGTGGAGAAAAACTGAGGAATTAAGATCTTGCAGGATAAGGGAATGCCACGACTTTTAAAAGGAACAAGTGGAAGAAAATGATATGTTCTAACCAGACTA